ATGCATGAGTGTCTAATAGCACTAATCCTTAAGCGAGCACTAAACTCTTACGTAGACAAAAAAGGGTCTTTTTAGCTCACCAGAGGCAATTTCAGTCAACTTTTGCCTGAACCATCGTTGAGTGATGGGAATTTTAAGTTTATTCCCATAAAGGGTTACATCTAACCATAAGGGGAGATCATTAAGAAATAGTGAATGTTGGATGGTCTTTTAAAAATCAAGAACCACTGAACCATTCAAGACAAAGGTCAAAGCTTTTTAATGAGTGAACTTTCAAGTTTCTAGTATTGGTTATATCAATATACCAAATTACCCATGATTTCTTGTCATGTCCCAGACGTAAAGGGGAGCTATAAAAATGGGTCAAACTTTGACCTAGGAATACATTGTATATAGGAAAACTCTTTAAAACATTCTTTTCAAGAAAAGAAATGTTAAAGTTAGTCTTTTAAAATTATTTGTTCACACCATGGTCCTAGCGACTAGGATGGGTCAAACTGGGAGGAGGTCAAAGGTTTACATTATTAAAGACGGTCATATATGTCAAAATCCCCATGCAATGTAGGTTTAAGTTTGTTCAAGACACGTTTGGCTAATATTTTTTTTTGGGGGGGGGAGGGGGGGTCAAGTTGATCTGATCAAAAAAAAAAAAAGGATCACAATTACATGTATAGTTGCTATATCCGAAGAACAATTTAATGACGATTCAATTTTTCCAAATCTTGACCTTTCAAATTTGAGTTAAGAAATGGGGTCAAATGGTCACAATATGTGGTAAAATTTTACCAAGGGATAAAGCAAAATGTTGTCCAAAAATACAAGAAGTTTATCGTATAGATTAACAACCATTCTCATGAAGTGTATATTCAAGTTTGAAAAAGTACATGTTTTTGCACCTCGGGCTAAAGAGAGGCAACAATTTAAACCAATTACTGGTGATCAAAGTTCTACATGGGAATAAATAGGAAAAATTGATAGAATCTTCTAAAAAAAAAAAAAAAAAAGAAGTGCCGAGGTAACTTGGGATATTGCTGTGGCATTAATGTTACCCTTGTTAATTGTACATATAAATACATACTTCATTGTAAATACCCTCTTCAGTTACACTTTGTAAAAAAATAATTTGTTTTTTTTTTAATCTTTTTTTTCAGTTGGTGGAAGATAAATACATTGAAATATTTGACGGTGTGTTGGCAGAGTTGATGAAAGTTATAGATTTGGTAATATTTTATTCTGTTCATTTTCTTTATAAAATGTGAATAATTACATTTAGTAACAAATTGAGTCTTAGAAATCGAAAAATTCAAAACAGAATGCATGTATCTATCATATCAAAGCGCACGTGATTATATGTATGTATTATCATATAACTGATATTGTACATAAATTAAACATCGGGACTTAATTAAAAGCATATGCTTTAATGTAAATATTTTATTTTCTAATTTAGCTAAAACAAGATACCTTTATAAATGACAAGAGTCAACTACTGTCTTTAACAAAGGTTTGTAAATTATTATTGAAGATATCCGTACTTTAAAAATTGATCTCATCAGTCCAACTATATTGGTTTATTATTTATTGTAATCAACTACTCTTGTCCTTCATTTATTGTTCTAATTTTCTAGTCAATTTTTGAGCGAGTGGTTTGGGAGGAAGAGAAGAAACTTGAAAGTGATATTAGAAAGCAAATTTGTCAAAAAGCAGTTCACATAGTATCAGTAAGTATAATCAACTATCTAGATAATGTGTAAATTACTGTAAACCAACTATTATTCGCGTCAACTTTTATTCGCGATTCGTCAGTTTGAAATCAATCCGCGACGATTAATTTTCGCGATTGAGGAACATTTTCTACAAATACAAGGCAAAATATATAGTTCGCGGTGATTAATATTCGCGAGTTAAAGTAGGTCGCGAAACTCGCGAATATTTCTCGCACGCGAATAAAAGTGGGTTTACAGTATTGTAAGTAACATTTATTTTTATTATTTTAAAACCTAATATTGTTCTTATCTTGCATAAAGCATGGTATAGAGGAGTGGGTGTGTGATCCCAGGCAAGTGCAGGCGAAGGCACTGGTAAGTAAACATTATGTATTGAAAATTACTTGTTACTATTTAACACATTTTTGGAAAAGAATTATGAACAGAAGAAAAACAAATAGGAATTTAAGACAAATTTAAACATCTGTTTTGACAACTTCTGTCCTACTGCGGTAAAGTCATGTTGTATTATAGGCCCTTTTTTTCATCAGAAAATTTTTCAAAAGTAGGGGGTGTACACATGGGAGATAAATCCAACCCTCTTTTTTTCTGGACATTTTTCTTAGCACTGGAGTCTGATTTGGGTGAATTCAAAAAAAATGACCAAACGCATATTTATCAACCCACACTAAAAATACAGGCAATGAAAATAGATTTCTATGTCTCAGCATATGTGTTTAGATAGTGTCTAAATACCTGCCAAATATCTCGTTGATATCTCAATTAACAAAAAAGTTATGCCCAAAAATGATGCTAAAATTGTCAGGAGTGCAACACCTTTTTGTGACATTTTGAAATTTCAATATTTTTTGGAGATCTGTGAAATAAAAAATAATGCTTCATGTTGAAAATAAAGACTTTACTGATAATATTCAAAGCATTGAGCTTTAAATGTGGACTGTAGTAACTTTTGTTTAATCAGGTTGTGGTCATGACTGATGTTTAAAAAAATGTTATACCATGTCAGGAGTGCAACAGAAAAAATGTAATGTTGCCAAAAAAACATCAATTGTAAAATTCTGATAGAAAATTAAGACAAAAAAGAATTTTGGAAGTGTAAAATAATAACTGATATACATTTTAAAACTTAAAAATGTTATATAAATCACAAGCAGCATTAATGAGAGTCAAGTATATGTGCATACCCCAAAATATCAGGAGTGCAACATTTGATATTTTGCTCCCAAGCATGAAAAAACTATTATCATTATATGATTTTCTGATTTTTATTTTGGAAAATAGAGACACAAAGAACATTTTTACCAAATAGATTTATCAATTACAGGATCTGTCTGTGCTTCAGATCCATATTTCTATGGTCAGGAGTGCAACACATTTTTTTTAAAGATTCAAGTTGTGTGACGAAAAGACTTCTATTCATGCTTAGAAGTATTCATTAATTAATAATGATCTTTTTGTATAATTTAATGCTAAATTATTGACAGTTTTATTATCAAAATACTTCCTTTTTCAATTTTATCAATTCAGATGTGTTTTTATCTTTTTTGTGATTTTTTTAATGAACATTAAAAATAAACACACTAAAACATTGTCATAAAATTCGAGTAATTCCTCCTCAACTTCACTGAAAACAACAGAACAAGTTCTTATGTAATTTTCACTTCACAATTCTACTTTAAAGGCCCCAGTGCTTTTGGTCAGGAGTGCAACAAATATGTTAGAACTATAAATCATCCAATAAGAATAAAAAGAAAGAAAAAATGATGAGTAGAATTTTTCTGGTGGGTTACTGTGTTTGTCTTCTAAAGGAAAATATGCTTTAAAATATATTTTATCTTCTAAATATACATTTAAGCTAGTTTTTCGGCATAAAATAGGGTATAATTCCAGATAAAATGCGAATTTTAAATATTTTCATCTGTTTTAATTATGAAGTATTGGACTATAAGTATTGCACAATTTCATTACCACTTGATGTTGCCAACACTTTATGAATTTTTGTGTTCTGTGGTTTTAATTTTAAACTTTACTGCAGTCAGGAGTGCAACAAAACTGCTTCATAATTACCGATGCTTTTTAACTATCTTTACTAAAAATTAAGTTGAAAAAAAATGCTTGATACTATTTGATGTTCAAAACACTATGTCTATCAACAAATTACAGAAATTTTACAGTCAATTCAGGGAATAGTTTTCATCATTTCACATATATTTTAAATACAATTTATATATATTACACTTTGCAAATAATCATGTTTTAAGGTCTTCAAAATATGAGAAACCTGCTGTAAACGATGAAAAATATCAACACGACAAATTGATTTACAAAGTAAAAATGGGTTATTGTGTGTTATAATTTTTAAAACAATGTTAAATAAAATACATATCAGATGTCAGGAGTGCAACACAATAATGTAACAGAGGGTTACTTCAAAATCTAGTAATTTTCGTAAGAGAACTCGTATATAACAATTCTTTTTTGGCTTAGATTTAAAGAATTGACCTGAACGGACAAGAAAGTAAATTTTGGGGAATTTTATTGCTTCATATTTTTTTCATATTAAAACTTTTCAAACCAGAATTGAAAAAATAATGTAAAATAACAATCAAAAAGCCAATTTTTTGTCACATGTGCAAGAGAAGATACTCATTCAAGGTCTAGCTTTAATCATTTATACCCCTTTTACCATTTTAAAGCATAAAAAACTATAATTTCTTGTGATTATGTATTTTAGAAAGTCTTTTAAGGTGTAATGATATTTTCTTTTTTCAAAAGAAATTTTACTAATAAAAATTCTGAAACTTTTTAATCCAACTGTCTATTCTATTGCCACTTCAGGATTTTAAACTAGAATGCATTTGCAATATGATGATATAAGTGAAAAATATGTTATAAGTAGTTGAATTTTGCCAAAAAAATTCAGTTTGGTGGTCATTTTTTTTTAATTCACCCATTTCACCGATATGTCATTGTTTGTTTATTGCAATTTTTTTCTCTTTTGAATGATTATCACAAATGACATAGATAACTGCAAATTTAACGTTATTAAAAAAGTCAACAAGCAATTAGATAAATCCTTCTAGTTGATTTTTATTGAATTTGAATTAAAATGTATTTAAAAGCCTAATTTATTTTTATTTTGTTCTATTTTGAGTATCATTACTGCTAAATTTAACTCCAATCAGCCAGATGATGTGATGAATTAAAACATCGTATAGTAAAATAAATCAGCATAATATCTTGTTGGCTAGATTTTCCTTCAAAGAGTGAAAATAAGAGTTAAAAAGGAACTGGAAAAAAGGCCTGACCTTCGATATTTCATCATTAATGAAATGATGGTAAGTATATAGATTATGGAAGATTACTCTTTATTTTTTGAAAATGAAAAGTTACCAACAGTACCAAAAATTAAAGATTACAAAAGATCTTTGTAAATCTTCAAAGAGTAATTCTGTTAAACTTGATTGTAAGTTATTTGTAGTATTAATTTCAATTTCATAATTTTTTTAAAATGTACTTCACAGAAGGAGGAAGAAGGCATTGACAAGAAAAAAGAAGTAAGTTACACTTTTTTCAGTTTAAACAAAATGAATTATTGTTATAGATTTTACTATATTTATTCCTAAACATATGTTTTTAAAATGTTTTTTTAACAGAAGGAAGAAAGCATTGACAAGAAAAAACAAGTAAGCTAAACCTTTTAAACCTGAATTTTAAAGATACATGAATACTGTAGTAATGTAAATCACTTTTTATTCGCAAGAACTTTATTTTTGCGTAAATACGTGAGACTATCCTGCTCGCGAAAATTTCATAGTCGCGTATAATTCTACTATTAAAGATTACACACAGTCATTCTACGATAAAAGGACCAATTCAGGGTATAAAACACAAAAAAATATTGTTTCAAGTAGCAAATCGAACATCATAATTCTCTAAAGGACATATCAGTGAACTTGAAAAAAAAATTGTTCACAAATCAGATATCGTTAACTTTTTACATCAATTTCAATATACCATTGATTTTAAGGTAATGTTATAGTGAATGCTTGAGCGGGTCTTATTATTTTTTAAAGAAAGCTGAATTTGAACATTTTTTGGTTTTCTGTTGTTCAGTATAGAACGTTGAAGTATGATTCTTGAAGTCTCGTATGAATCTGATATCTAGTTAAAATTTCGGGAAAAATATCGTTACGGAAGTTAATTTCCAGCGATAAAAGTTGAAATTCTCGACATTAGTTAAAATTAGAGTTTGTTTTAAGATGTTAAACAAAAGTATGAAGCATTTCGCTCCCCAAATAATAAAAATGTTTATACCTTTAATGCAAAAACATTCCTGAATTGCCGTTACAGAAGTTAATTTTTTAAAAGAAACAACTGTTTTTGTCTAATTCATCTTGTTATAACGAAATTTTAATGGTCTAAAGTATAGCTAAGTCGCAACCAGAATCGATCATACTAGGTTCCATGGTCACTTTTAGATACTTTTCAGTTCTTTTTGAAATCTGCATTCTGTGCGTTTAATTTAAAACAAAATCGTTACAGAAGTTAATTGATTTACAGCGACATGGTATGATTTCGTATGAAAGAAGATCCATGCATTTTACTTAAACTTTAAATGCATATATATATATATATATATATATATATATATATATATATATATATATATATATATATATATATATATATATATATATAAATATTTACATGTCCATGTATGTATGTTACGTCTTAGAGTTGAAATCAATCTTTAAAATTATAATTAAGATATTACAACGGTAAATGTATAAGCGACATAAAAAAGAATCTTAATTGGGCATGTTTTTGTAGAATGACTGACACAGAGCAATAACCAAAATTCGTAAAATATAAATACCAAACAAGTTTCACGATAAAAAAAGGTATCGTGAAACTTAAGTGTTCTGTAGCAATTTTGATGCTTTCGGAAAGTATACAGTGAAACACTCCAAACACCAAGAGAAATGTTTACACATTTTATCGTAATAATTCCTAAGCATGTGTTTGGTTAAGTTTTAAAGTTAAAATTTAACTTTCCCTTTAGTCAAAGACATGAGAGTATTTTCAGTATATATATACAGTTATGTCTTCTTCTTTTTTTATCTCTCCTGATTCAAAGATTAACTTGAGCTGTTCTGATTCGAGTGTGCCTGGCGTTCATCAGTTTCTGTCATGTGTTGAATGTAAACGTTTCACATTCTAGAACCGCTAGGCCAATTTCAATCTAACTTACTACAATGCATTCTTGAAAAAAAGGGGGTTCAGATCTAAGAAAGGCCATGGCCTGTTTCAAGGGCATATAATTCAGAGAAAGAAAAAAAGAGTAAAGTTGGCCTTAAGCATTATATTGTATCTAATGCAAAGTCTTGAAATCCTTGAATTTAATTTGATGACCAAAATAAGAAATTATGTACATCTACATGTATCTACCAATTTTTAGGTAAAAAAAAAGATAACTCAGGTGGGAGTTGTGGCCCATGGGCGTCTTTAAAATTCACTAGTATTTTAGAGCAGATATTTTAAGAGAATGCAAATTTAATTTTAGTTGCTGATCTTTCTTTTTATTTTTAAAAAAAGGAAGCAGCAATTACTGTTCAAGCATTCTACCGAAAATGTCAGGCACAGAAGAAATTCAAACACCTGAAGGCATGTGTTACTAAACTTCAATCTTTCATACGTGGATGCCTACTCCAAAAGCAATACATGAAAATCAAGCAGTCAGTGTGCATTATACAAAGACGATTCAGAGCATACCTTGTCATGAAACAAACTCAAAAGAAGTACCTTACTCTTAAAGAAGCTGTTATTACTATTCAAGCCTACTTGAGGGGTTACATTATGCGTCATAAATACATAAGAGAGAGGGCAGAAATTGTTAAGCTACAGTCAGCCACCAGAAAGATTCTCTGTCAGAGATATTATGCAAAATTGAAACAAACCGTCATTGAAGTTCAAAGACGATACCGTCAAAAAGTGTGTGTTTCAAGAGTGAAAGAGGAACACTTGACTACCAAGGGTGCAGCCATTACCATTCAGACAAGCTACAGAAGACATCTTCAGCAGCGAGACTACATTCAACGGTCAGTTGTAGTTCTTCAAAGTGCTGCTAGAGGTTGGAAAGCTAGAAGACAAGTAAAACAAAGAAAACTAGCAATTGTCCATATTCAGGCTGTTGTCAGAAAGCTTATTGCTGTACAGAGGTTTCAATATTTGAAGAAATACACCAAAATTTGTCAACAGCGGTATCAAGCCAAGTTACAAGGAAAATTGGTTCATCATCAGTATATGGCCCTTCGTCAAGCAGCTGTGACAATGCAATCATACTACAGAGGAATCCAGACTAGGAAAATGATGTTGCTGAAACAAGAAAGTGCCAGAAGAATTCAGTCGTGGTACAAAGGACGAAAACAATATATATTGTACAAAGAACTGCGAAAATCAGTCCTTATCTGTCAGAAAACTTACAGATCTAGTAGGTTAGCACAGTCAGATCGAAAGAAGTTCTTGGTCCTTAAAGGAGCAGCTCTTACTATAGAGGCATTTTATAAAGGTTACAAGACAAGATGCACATACCAAAGATTGAAGCAGGCCATAGTATTGCTCCAGTCTGCTTTTAGAGGTTTTCTAGAAAGAAGGAGGCTAAAGAAACATCATGAAGCTGCGATTTTGATACAGCGAGCCTTAAGGAACCACATGCACATTAAGCTTGTCAAGGTAGGTCTTAGATTAACTTTGAAAATTTGAACTGGTGTATTAGTTCTCTTGCTGTGGTCTTCGACGACGTCTTATCAAGAAACAATAGTTATTTCCATTCATATGTCGACACGATATATCCAGTGAACTTGAAATAAAAGATACCACAGAGTCTGACACATCTGTTTCATAGTTGAATATTTTATTAGAAAAAGACGTTAATGGTAATCTAACAACAAAACTTGATGATTCACTTTTCAATCGTCGACTTCCCTTACTTATGCAGCAATATACCCTTATCACCCCATGGGTGTATATCTCTCAGTTGATTCGATACGCAAGAGCATGCTCTACGTATGAACAATTTCTAAAACAAGGTAAGTTATTGACAAACAAGTTGACGAAACAAGAATATTAACTCTCGTTTAGAGTCATCATTTCGTAAGTTCTATGGTCGATTCAATGACCTTGTCAGCAAATACAATTTATCATTAAGTCATATGCTGACTGGTATTTTGCATACTAATTGTTAGGCTATTATTTACACACTGAATTGTCGACGAATTTTCCCGTTATTTCCCGATCATAACAAGGAGCACACGGCGGGTGTGACTAGTCGGCAGGGGATGCTCACTCCTCCATGGCACCTGATCCCACCTCTGATGTTTTTGGAGGTCCGTGTTTGCTCTGCTCCCGATTTGTATTGTTTTAATGGACTTTGAGCTTGAATACTTTTCGTTATCTCCATATTTCATTGGAGCAAGTTGTAGTTATGTAATACGCATGTTGATTTGTTTGTCATTCCCATTATCTAGCATGAATGAATTTCTTTTGTAGCAGCAGGAGAAAGCAAGACGAGCATACTTGTTGCAATTCACCAGGAAGATAGAGATTCACCTGAAAGCAACAGTCATACAGAGACGCTACAGAAAACATGCATCACTTTGTGAAGCCAAGAAACAACTTCACAGTGCCCTCATAATACAGGTAATGTTTTCAGTTAATTTGTGTTAAAAGTTGTATCATCAAATTTTTTGACTGAAATATCATAGATTAATGTTGGGAGTTCGAGGGTCAAAACTTGTTGAAAAAAGTTTATTGTCTTTCCAAAAATAGGTACATATGTGCTTCTGGTATCAGACTATTGGTTCATGACATGCAAAGAAAAAGTTTGAAAAGTTTTATTTAATTAATTATTGCAGAACTGGGTAAGAGGGAGATTGTGTCGAATTCGGTTTCTAAAGCTCAGGAGGTCTGTTCATGTGATTGAATCAGCAGCATTACAGTGGAGACGCATAAGCCATGTTAAAGAAAAGAAACAGGCAGCCACCAAAATACAGGTAACAAATATCAAATATGCCAATTGTACGAGTAATTCTATTAAAATAGTACATGTATTAGAGCTTTGGATAGAGATGCGGGTGTCCTATATAGTAATCACCCTGTCCATTCAATGTGGCACAGGAACTTGAGCTGTCGTTACGTTCTTTCTAAAAACAGACTTAAATATACTATATATATGAAGGATGGCAAGTCAAGACTCTATCATTTGGAAAAGGTCAAGGTTGGAATAAAGATCCTTGCGCATTTATGTAATACAAAACCAGTGGTTTATTATTTTTTAACATATATACTTCATTTTTACCTCTCGGACGATGGTTAGCTGAAACTTGTAGATTCTGAGTGACTTGATCAGAAGTCACAATTAAAAGTGGAAATTATTATTCCCCTCCCTTGCAAGTAAAGTTATGAGTTGTGGGGGATATAGAAATTAATTTGTCCCTCTGTCCTATCTGTCTATCCATGCAATTCATCCTGAAAATAACTTTGTAATGGAAAATCTATTGAAAGTTACACAAAGTTACCTCAAAGTATGAGGATGTGTTATGACCTTGACCAAGGATCATTTGTTCAAGGCTGGAAAATGTTTAATTCTCCATTCCTGTCATGGCCCTCTCTTGTAATGGGGAAACATGGGACGCTCTTAGAAGCAAAAAAAAAAAAAAAAAAAAAAAAAAAAACCTATCTCCAGAAGGTGTGCTGACTGTGATTTGACTCAAGATCATTTTGAATTCTTCAAGGTCACTGATAGCAATGTTGTAATACGTACTTACATATATTCATCCTTGCTTAAATACTTTCCAGTTTCAGCACACACGGCCATATTTTGAAGAAAACCTATTCTTATATTTGTTATTCTATTTACATTTCTTAATTTTCAGGAGGAAGAGATAGAGGAAGAAAAGGAAAAACCAAAGAAATTAAGTGTATGTTTTGTAACTTAATTTCTTTAAATGTAAAGTAGAAAAAATATCTTTTATAGTTAAGTTTTTTTTTTAATTTTAAAATTCAGATACTCTATTATTAATTAGTTAATGATGAACTAATTAAGTATATAAAATGCTAACATCAGTTAATCATTAACTTATCAATTACAGTGTATCTGAATTTTTATTTTTTTATTTATTTTCATCTTTTATTTAGCAGTTCATGTTTTCGTTGTCACTAAAATAGCAATGCTTAAATCCAACAAATATAATATTTTGTTTTGTTATTGTTGTCACAAAGTTCAAGGTATAGAACCTTTCTAGAATATCTAAAGAATTAGACTTTAAAAGTAGTCACACATTATTTTTTTTAAGTACCTAATCGAATTATGATGCCACCAGTAAAATCCTACTTAGAGCATCTTTTGACATCTGTATTTGGGTGAAGTTGGACCTGTCAATATTTTAGGAGCTTTACTTGATCATCTTTCTACATTTCAGAAAATGAAAAGATTTAGAAAATGGCTGAAACGCACTTTCTGTTGCTCAGGATAAATGTGAGTAAATTTACTATTATATGTTGTTAGATTTTTTTCCGCTGTTGTATTAATATTACATTCTCCTTTTCTCAACTCTTTATCAATTTTTGTTCTTATCCAGATAGAAAGTTGGCAATCATGATAAGTGAAAATTCATTCACAGATCTTGATGAATTGAATCAGAAAATGAGTGTCCTTGAAAGCAAATACTAATCCAAACATTGTAATTTTAAAATAAGGCAGTCTATCAGCCATGAGTACTGATTTCAAACAAATTAAATTAGTGATTTTCTTGTCAACCCTTGGCCTTTGACTATAAAACAGTGTTTCGTTTGACACCTTTTATCTATAAACTATACCCAACTTACATTATGTAAAATTGCTAATAGAGGATATGTTTATAAAAAGTAATGTTCAGATTAATAGATTGTCCTCTTTCCATCCCAATCTCTTCATCTTTCTCTCGTTTCCGTCGCCCGCGTGGCGCAGTGGTTAGAGCGTCTGCTCTAGAGTCGCGAAGTAAGGAGTTGATCCTTACGTCGCGGGTTCGAATCCCACTGTGGGACGTGGAGACCGGTCCTTCGGATGAGACCGTATAAACCGAGATCCCGTGTCGCAGTAGGTGCTGGCACGATAAAGATCTCTCACTGCTCAATGGCCGTAAATGCCGAGCATAGGACAAAAATTTGCAGCTCTCCACCGGCAATTGGTGGCGTCTCCATATGAACAACATACAAACAAATAAACTCTTGTTTCCCCTCTTTCTCATGTATGATATGATAAATATATACAGTGTTTTATTTCTTCTTTTTTCAGATGAAAAGCGGATACTCTGTCAAGAACTAAAGAATATTTATTATCATTCTATGTAAAAGAGATCTAAATATTAATGTATATCTATTTGGAACCCAGGAGGGGACACCCGAGCTATTTTTACAGGTTTTCGTTTCTGGTTTGGCTGATAATAAACTTTTTTTCTTTTGACCTTTTTTCTCTAAATTTATATAATGTGGGCCTCATGGACAAGAGGCTCGCATTGCAAAACAGCTTATTCTAAATTTGTCTTTGGCTTTTCTTTCTGGTAACGAGGCAAGTGAGGCAGATCCCTTGCCGAGTTACCAGAGCAAAATTACTTCAACAATTTTGGAACTTTAGGTCTTTCAGGGAGACCCATTTTAACCAGGGTTTCCCTGTCTAAAAGTAAGAAATTGTAAATACATCCATTTAGAGATGTTAAAAGCTCCGTTGTCCTCTCCTGTCTAAAAACTGCTTATATATAGTTTAAATGAAAATATTTCTGTCCATACTGTATGTGCTAAAAAGTTTTCAATACTTGATGCGTCCTTTTAAATAAATAAACCAATTTTTGCATACTTATTATCGATTTTTAGTTTTAAATCATGAATTCAAAATAATTGATTCAAAGGAAACTGATATTTTCAAGAAAAAAATCCTTACAAATTTAAATAAAGTTGTGATTAAAAATGTATGTTTGACTATGTAGAATAGTTATAAACTGTGTTCTTACTTGTTCACAGGCAAAAGTGGCTTACATAAATTTTATATGAAATTCCCATGATTTTCATGTGAATTCTTTGCATGAGAAAGAGACGAAAATCAAGACAAGTGAAATTTATGTGAAAACTTCAAGCCATTTTGACCTAACTTTCATAAAAATTTTACATGAAGAGCATATTGCATAAAAATCGTGCAAAGAAAACTTCACATGAAAGTTCTAAAAAAAAAAAATATGTGAATATCATACAAACTTATTCACGTGATATTCGCATGAATAAATATTTATATAATTTTTACATGATTTTCACACAATTTTCGAATAAAAAGATAATCACATGAATATCATATAAGCCATTTTCCCAGTGGAAGTCGAGAGGATGAGAATCCATAATTATGACATACATGTATAGATATGTCAGGTTATCATTGAAGTGATATACCAGGGGTATCCTTTCTGCATGTGTTCAGCCTCTACGAAGGCATCGTTGTTGCCTCTGACAGAAATATGGGCATTGCAGTACACTATTTATTTAGAAATTCACGGCAGTAATGCATTAGAATATAAATTCAGAAGAAAACACTTGCTGTGGCCTTACTCGATATTCAGATATATCGACGATGATAAATCATTTAGCAATAGTTACTTTCATTTACATGTCGTCACGATATATCCCAGTGAACTTGAAATAAACGACACCACGGAGTCTGCCACATCTGTTTCATAGTTGGATGTTTAATTGATTATAGACGATAAGGGCCAACTAACAACTTAATTGTATGACAAACTAGATGACTTCAACTTTTTCATCGTCAGCCTGATTTATATAGTAATATTCCACTATCACCTGCATATGGTGTTTACGTCTCCCAACTTACTTGATACTCAAGAGCATGCTCTGAGTACGATCAGTTTTTTTTTAACCGAGGCAGGTTACTGACAGATAAGTTGATGTTACAGGGATTTCAACAACCTCGTTTAAAGTCAGCATTTCGTAAATTCTATGGTCATTATATAATGACCTTGTTGCAAGTTATATCCTATCACTGGTTCGTATTTTGGCTGACGTGTTTCAACTCAATTATTAGGCCTTGTTTTTATACTAAATTTTATACTAAATTTGACTATGAAATGCCCCGTCTTCCCGATCAATACTTATGGCTCACGGCGGGTGTGACAGGTCAACAGGGGATGCTTACTCCTCCTAGGCAACTGATCCCACCTCTGGAATTTCCTTGGGTTCGTGTTTTATGCCCTTTTCACAGATCTGTATTGTTTGTAGAATTTTTGAGATCGATCACTGCTTGTTAACTTCGTTCTTTTTATTACTCATTTTCCATTCAGTTCTTTTGAATATTGGTTCACTCTTGACAAATATACAAGTTCCGAAAGTTCATTTGTTATTTTGGAGATTAGACAATAACCATGGAAATAATTATAAGTTAAAGTACGTGAACACAGACTTATGTCAGATATATTACAAATTGCGAAAGGCAAGGAGTTAATGAGTTAAGAAAAAAATACTTCAAGTACCTGTGCATAAAAGTGTGCATTATCAAAATATGGAACAGAGTTTGATGGAAATAAAAAATAGTATACTAAAGTGTCATTTTTAGAGTCCACGTAGCATTAATATGTACTCGTTAAATGTCTGAAGGTAGTGTATAGTACAATTTATAAGATTATATTATACAAGCATCAGGAGTACACGGGCACCTTACCCTGTCATTTACTGAGCATTACCCCCTACAGCTGTGATTTTATATTGACCTATCAGCGATAGACGTAGAATAAATTTGATAAAGACATTGTGTAATTAGGCTGTATTGCTGT